GAAGCGAAGTGGAGTGGCGAGCGAGATGTCTTGAGTTCGGTTTGGGGAGTGTTCCGAGCTGCCATGGGCCAGCTCGGGTCACAGCTTTGTGAGGCTTGGGGCCCAATATAGTTCGTGCTCCTTGTAAGGAGCTCGGGCTCCTTTTAGAGCGGTCTGGTAGAGTTCGGGCTCAGTAGTGAGCTTGGACTTGCTTTCGGTGCTCGCTCCGGACACTCTACTGTCCTGAGTTGCTTGTTTTTGCCATGTGTCGGATGATTGCGAGGTCGGGCCAAATTCCCCTTCATCACCATAGAATGTCAACTCCCGATCCACCAACCTGACTGAACCTATCCCTAGAGCTGGTTTTAGAACAAACACCCAAATTGGGTAGTCCAGTTTTGTCTTCTGTGTTGTTTGATCTCATCCCCACGTAAAGTCTGGGTTGGAAATTATTTAATCCCTGAAGGCTGAACCTGAACCCTTTTTCTCTTTATCTAACATGGGAAAAGGCGTTACGGAGCTGGCAAGAAGGAAACTAGATGAGCTGTAAAAACTTGACTGGGTTATGTTGTTATCCAAGTTTTGTGGGAAATTGACTGTCGGCTTTGCAGCCGATGACCCAGTAACTGCAGCTGAGATGGTCAGTCGGCGCCTCCTCCTGGGATGGAGGCGTGGGATATGGCAAGGTCCGTCGACGTCACGTGCACCCATAGAATAAAGAATTTCGACCATTTCAGCCTTCAGGTCAGACCTTAAACTTTATCCATAATAAAGTTCTCGTCGCACTGTCGTGAGCATCAGATGATGCTGTTCACTTCTGCAACTTGGGCGGTCGGGCCTGTTCAGAATTTCTAATGCACACGTAAGTTTGGAATTGGCATAAGCGGAACCAATGGAAACATGGCATGGCATACCCAAGATGTGAAAGCTTCGTTAGAGATTTGAATGGACTCGTGGACCTCTCTCTGGCCACAGCCCGTGTTAGAACTGTTAAGTCACCCCATGGTCATGGTGATGATCATCTGCAGCATATCGATACAGTCACTGTTAAGTCACCTGTCACAGTGTCACCTACGTTTTTTCCAAGAACAAAAAGAAAACTTTCATCCATGGCGCAGAGAAAGCTTCCCTCCTGAAAATGATAGAAGGGGGAAAAAGCCTGCGAAAATAGATGTTCCCTTTTTTTTTATTTCTAAATGGTTGCGGCCTTGCGGGTGTTTTTTGTTCAAACGGATGGATATGGCACTGAACAGAACGGAATGGTGGAATTGGGTTCATGTAGCCGACCCCTTATAGCTGGGACAATGCTTAGATGATGATGAATTGATGATGTTCCTGGTTCTAACCAATTTATACAGACATTAAATTTGTTCCAAGTTCAAAGCCATAGAGTATCATACTATCATCACAGTCCAAATTTCATCAACAGAACTAATATCTGCATGCATAGAAGCAACATTTACAATATAAATTTCACAGGGACGGAGAGGAGGATGCAGGAACGAACTTGATGGAGATACTGTTCACACAATGGCGTTCATCAGTAGGTGTTCGGAAACCCTCCCCTTTGAAAACATGACCTAAATGACCACCGCAAGCTGCGCATGTAATTTCAGTTCTCCTCCCATCTGGGTCGGGCTGGCAAAAATGCACCAAAAACAGACATACAAGATTAAAGAAAATAATTGAGCAAGAAGACCCACTTGTGCTAAGGTAATGAATCTTACAGTGCGATTTATAGCTCCAGGGAGGCCTTCATAGAAAGCTGGCCAGCCACAGCCGGAATTGAACTTTGTGGTGGATCTATAGAGTGGAGTCCCACAACCTGCACAGTTATAGATCCCTTCACCAAAAAACTTGTCGTATTCTCCAGTGCCCGGGTACCTGTGTATGATTTCAACTATAACAAGAAGCACCAAAACCATAACAAAAACTGTAACTTAAACTGACCCAAAAGGAAATACCGCACTTGCTCTTGCTGCTGCATCCAATGTATGAAGATCTCTCACTAAAGAAGAACAAATGATGCTAATTCAGTGTTAACTTGGTTTCTAAAGTTCAAACAACTCTTATGTGGACAGGAAAATTACATCAACAGCCTTGGTATTATTTCTTTCTCTTTTTTTTTATTTTTTTAGAGAGGGGGTACCATGGTATTGTGCTCCTGTTTTGTCTTCATGTAAGTGCCACATAGGTGATTTGACTTTTAACATTTTTTTTATCAATAACAACTTCATAAATTTCATTGAAATATGATAGGAATAGTTACATCAAGGAAGACAAACACTCTTGTCTTCCAAAGACAGCTTAAGTCCTCAAAGAAAGAAAAGAAAAAAGAAGTAAAATGATTACAACTTAGCCCAAAACATTACATCCCTTTCAGTCCCCTATTTAGCTAGCCATCAGCTATAGAGTTAGCTGATCTATTAACCCAACTCAACCTGATTTCCATTTCCCACACCAGCCACTTGAACTTTCTACTCATTGCTGTACTTCCATAGTCCGCAGTTGTCTTTCCTCAGCCACCCTATTACCACCTCCGAATCCCCTTCTATTATGAGTTTTCTGACGTCCATTTCCTTAGCTTTCTGAACACCTTCCATAACTGCCAAGATCTCAGCTCTAAGAGAATTCCCCACTCCAATTGGACCTGAGAACATGGCTGAAATGACTCCGTTCTCATCCCTAAAGGCACCCCCAATCCCCGACTGTCCAGGATTCCCCCTACAACTCCCATCAAAGTTCAGTTTTAGGAATCCAGCCAGTGGGGGTGTCCAAAACACCTTCACGACTGATTTGGACTTCATACAACTTGCAACCTCACCCCACTTCCTTAACAAGTCATCCACCGTGTAGTCTGTGAATAACTCTATTGATTTCAGCCACTGTACAGCCCTCAATTCCTCAGCCCCTCTCTCCTTATCCGAGAAAATTCTAAGATTTCTCTCTTCCCATAAGGACCAACAAATTGCAGCCCTCAAACCTCTCCACATTATCCTTCCCCTTTTCTCGTGCCACCTAAACAAAGAAGGAGAAAATAGGCTCTGCAAATCTGATGAAGGGTTCCCCCTGTGCCCAAAGAGAGAAAAAGCCCATTCCCAAATTGACTTTGCAAATTGGCACGACACCAGTAAGTGAAACCCAGTCTCCCCATCCGCTTTGCATAGAACACACCAGTGAGGTGATAAGCATGTATTGAGTCTCTTCTTTTGAAGCAAGTCACCAGTATTGAATCTTTCCAGATAGACTTCCCAACAAAAACACCCAACCCTAGGAGGGATTGCTTTGCACCAAACCTCATTAACCAGGAAAGGAGAGGTTGTGGGATTGGTGGACTAACACAAGACTCTGAAAAAGGAAGCACAAGAAAAAAGACACTGTGGAAGGCTCAAGACACTGTGGAAGTTAGAGTCCCTCACAGCCCTCCTCAATCCCAGGTTCCACCCAAACCCAGAATTGGAGGAAGAAAAGGATGAAAAAAAGAAATTGGCTTATTTTTAAACTCCAAGAGGGCATACAGGGAAGGAAACAGGTCCTTAAGAGGACTATTCCCCACCCATGATTTGACTTTAACATTCAAAGAACATATCAGGTTTTGTGAGAGGGGGATAGAAATACTAAATTCTTTCATGTTGTGGCAAATGGGAGAAGGAGAAAAAATTTCATCTCAAGTCTAGAAATTGAAGGGGCAACAATATCCAATCAAAGACAGATTGTTGGGGCTTTTGCAGATCATTTTAGGTCTATATTTAGAAGACCCCTAAATAATAGGGTGCGGCTTGAGGGGTTGGAATGGCCAACTTTGGGGTTAGAGGACAGGGAGTGGTTGGAGAGAAAATTAAACGTGGAAGAAATAAAGGAGGCAATGTTCTCTATGGATAGATCAAAGGCACCAAGCCCAGATGGATTTACTATGGCCTTTTTATCAGGACTGTTGGGAGATATTGAAAGATGATCTATTGATGGTGTTTGATGAATTTCATAATAGATGAGTGATTAACCCAGGATTGAACTCCACCTTCATTGCCTTGATGCCCGAGAAAAGAGAAGCAAACCATCCAAGGGATTACAGATCAATCAGCCTTGTTAATAGTTTGTATAAGATTATTACAAAGGTATGTCCATTAGAATCAAGAAGGTGCTCCCAACAATTATAGAAAATAACCAAGGAGCCTTCGTAAAGGAGAGGGATTAGACAAGGAGACCCCCTCTCTCCTTTTTTGTTTACCTTGGTTGCAGAAGTTTTGGGGAGGCTAATCTCTAGAGTAGATTCCAGAAATTTAATCAGGGGGTCGAGAGTGGGAAGGGAGAACATATCACTTACACGTTTGCAGTTTGCAGATGATACAATACTTTTTTGTGAAGGAGGAGACCCTGATAGGATAAAGAATATGAAGCTCACTGTACAACTCTGTGAGCAAATGTCAAATCTTAAAGTGAATTTCGAGAAAAGTTGTATAGTAGGAGTCAACTTGGGGGAGGGGGAGATTCTTGAGTATGTAGACATTTTGGAGTGTCTAATTGGCCTATAAACTACCTTGGTCTTCCTTTGGGAGATAATCCTTAGAAAGGAGAGTTCTGGATTCTGGTTGTATAAAGATTTGAAAAGAGGTTTGCCACTTGGAAGAAAAATTATCTTTCTCTTGGAGAGAGAATCACTCTAATTAGGTCTTCCTTAGCAAACCTGTCTGTTTACTTTCTGTCATTTTTCAAGGTGTCGGTAGGGGTGGCTGGTAAGCTAGAAAAGTTAATGAGAGATTTCCTTTGGGAATTGGGGGATGAGAAAAAGGACCATAGGGTTGGGTGGAAGATGGTGTGCAGGTGCAAGAAAGATGGAGGCCTAGGTATTGGGAAGATAAGGAAAAGATGGCATTATTGGGGAAATGGTTGTGGAGATTTTCATTGGAAAAAGAAAAGTGGTGGGCTAAGATAGTGGGTAGTACTCATGGGCTTGCAGACAATGGATAGGACTCTGGGATTCTAGCTAGGACTATAAGGGCATCTTCTTGGAAAGCCATTGAAGCTATTTTGCCTTTGTTCTCTCCTTGGATCAGGTATGATTTGCACTCAAGCAATTTCATTAAATTTTGGGAACATGTTTCGGTTGGGGGTTCTCCTTTGAAAGATCAATTTCCGGCTATTTTTGCTTTATCTACCCTTAAGAATGAACCGGTTTCCAAATTCCTTGTATCCTCTAACTTAACCTCTAGGTTTGGTTGGAACTTGGGTTTGAGAAGAGACATAAGGGACACAAAGTTAGACTGTACTTTATCCTTACTTTCCATGCTTGATGGGGTGTTCCTAGAACCATCAAAGATAGACAGTAGAATTTGGACAATCACTCCCTCAGGTTCCTTTGCTTGTGCTTCATTCTTTAAAGCCCTAACCCAGCCAGTTGTTTTTCTTAGGCTGTCCTTCCCGGTTAAAGAGGTGTGGTGTCAACCTATTCCTCCGAAGGTTGGGAATAGTTTACTTATTTGTTTGGGTGCAGGTGGACTCCCCCAATGAATGTGCAAAGCCTGTTTACTTCCACCCCTTCTATCTGGCCGACAAAAGGGGCTAAGGTTATGTGGAAATGTGTCAGGGCATCAATTTGCTGGACTATCTGGGAAGAAAGAAATTCAAGGATTTTTTTTTTCAGAAAAGGAGAGAAGTTTGGAAGTAATTTTGGAGGTAACTCATATAAGGGTGACACATTGGTTAAAAACTCTGGATATGTTTTCAGATTTCTCAATAGATGATTTGCTTAGGAAGTGGAGGGAAATTGCACAATCAACACCAGTTAAGATGGTCTCTAGTTCTTGCTGGAACCTTCCACCTCCTAGTTTTGCTAAACTGAATTTTGATGGCAGCAGCATGGGCAACCCAAGGCCCTCTGAAATAGGGGGAATTTTAAGGGATGAAAAAGGGAACCTACTAGCCATATTCTCTGGCCCAATTGGAGTGGGAGACTCATTGAGGGCTGAGATACTAGCAGCTCTAAAAGGGGTACAAAGAGCTAAAGATACGAATATCAGCAAACTGATCATAGAAGGAAACTCTGAAATTGTGGCGAGTTGGCTAAGTTGGCTAAAAGATGACAACTAGGATCTAGAACTACAGCAATGAAAAGAGGAAATTCAATTGGTTGTCTAAGGATACTGAGGTTCAACGCACTTGGGTAAGAAGTGCAAACTCATTTGTAGATGGTCTAGCTAGGCAAGGGGTGAATAGGAATTCTATCTTTTGGGCTCAGTTGTAATTACTATTATATTTTGGGTGTAAGTCAATAGACTCTGGGAGTTAAGTTATTTTAGCTCCCTTCCTTTGTAATTTTCTTAATCTATTAATGAGCATGGGAGGAAACATCAAAATGATGTTTATTGTATTTGGGAGGAATTCCCACTTTGTTCTACGTAGAACTTAATGGTGCCTTTGTTTTTGAAACTATAATAAAACTTCCTGCACTGTTACTTTCTCTATTTCCAATGTACTTTTTTATAAATAATACAGATTTTATTAAGGGAACAATAATGTACAACAAGTTGTGTCAATACAGCTCATTACAATTCTTGAGAGAATAGCACCTATTATCTCTCCCCACAACAGTTTCTTTTACATCTGAGTCCTAAATAACTCATGCATATTAGACCCTTCTTTGGCAAGAACATCAGCCAAACTTTTAGCTGATCTTTGTACCCATTGAAATGTTAACTGCATAGTCCTTGAATACCATCTAAAGCGTCTTATTTTGTTTCTATAAATCCATTAAAGTATTGCCATCCTTCATCAACCAACCAGTTACTACTTCGGAATCTCCTTCAACAACCAGTCTTTCAACTCCTATTCCTTAGACTTTTGCACCCTAGACACTGCCAGCATAAGTTGGGAACTGATTGAGTTTCCCTCACTTATTGGGCCAAAAAACATTGCAAGTATGACTCCATTGTCATCCCTTTTTTTGATTCGAAACGGTAACTTTCATTAAAGCAGCAGTTAAAAACATACAATGTCAACCACTCACAGCATGTGTTGACCCCATACAAGTATCACTCTATTATCATCGCTTATTACTCCCCCTAATCCAGATGGCCCTGGATTGCCAAGATTGCTTCCATCAAAATTCACCTTCAACAATCCCCTATTCTATGGTGTCCATTTTTATGAAGATCCTACTACTGATCCCTAATTTCCGAAGATTTCATCCATTATGAAGTAAAATAGATCTAATATCTTCATTTCAATGTGTCACATTCACTGTGATGTTTTCAAGTATTGCCTCCTTATGTCTTTTGTTCTCCTCGAAGGTCTGTGCATTCTGTTCCTACTAAATAGTCCAAATCACAGCAACTTGTACATCTCCACATTATTCTCTTTCTTCTCTTTAGCCATCTGAACGTATTTGCCCCAAACAATCTGTCCAAGCCAACAGGGAAAGTCAACCTTCTCTCAGAAAGAACAGAAACCAATCCCAAACACAGCAAACAAATTGACAATAAATTAGTAAATGGTAAGTGATCTCACCATTTATTTGCACATGAACATCAGTTAGGAGAAATATACCAGTTGGTTCTCTTCCTTTGCAACATGTCACAAATTTTAATTCCTCTGTGGAAGACAACCCAAACAAAATGCACTAATTTTAGGAGAAATGACAACACTCCATACTTCCTTCATAGGAAAAGACAGCAGAAGGGGATTGGACAAAGTTAAGAATGTGAAAAAGGAAGCACAAGAAAAGCCACCCATAGAATGGGAAGCCCAAAAGCAACCACCTACCTTACTAGGATTAAGAAACACCCCTTCCAAAACAATCATTCAAGCTGAAACATTCCAGCTTGAAACACCACAGCACCTAACACCTAACACCACATCAGTCAACACCATTGTTAAAAATTTTTATCCAATGAACTCCAAAGGTATCCATTCTCTATGGCTGTATTTAGTAAGAGTACAAATGATGAACCAAAGAAAATTTGCACTCCTATTCAGTTTTGTAGGTTTTTGCTAAGAATATATTTTTGTATTGAAAACGAAAGTAATTTATTTTCCTGACATTTTTGCATTCCAAATGGGAGCAAAGTACGTTTTGTAAGAATACAAAATTTGTTGATGCACAACCAAACCAAGTTTGCATTTTCATGAACTGAACATATTTGCATTTGCACTCTAATCAAATGCAGCCTATGAGTCATACATATGATTAAGATTCTTGTAATGATCCTACTGCCAAAAAAAAACCATAAAGCAATTTTAAGAGCTTATTGGTTCTCACACAGATGAGGGTGGGCCTTGGTGCAATGGTTGGGTTGCTCCATTGCAACCTGGGTGACCAGGGTTCAAATCTTGGAAACAGTCTCTCTGTATGTGCAGGAGAGTATAAGGAGGGAAAAAGAACCTTAAGAGGAGAGTTGCCCACCCAAATATCTTCCCCAAAGAGTACTTTGTCTCCAATATACATATCATACCTTATATGGCTTAAGAACTGAGGAAGAACACCATGACTAGCCTTAAAAGGTGATACCACGAGATACCAGCATCCCGCCCATTGCTATCATGTCCACATAAGCCCTCCACTACCCAATTCCATGGTCTTTCCCTTTCCAGAGGCCATATCCACAACCACTTACCCAACTATGCTATATTCTTCTTTGCTAAGCCCCATATCCTTCCTTTTACAAAGAGTTCCCACTTAACCGGTCAGTCCACCCAGTTCCCACAAGAAATCTCTCATAATCTTTTCTAACTTGCACACCTCCTTTTGAGGATTCATAAAAACAAAGAGATAATAAATTGACAGAATACCACAAAAGACACTTGCCATGCAAACTACTTACTACATATGGAACTTTCCACTATGAAAAAAGCCACTTACTTGGAACTCCCTTTGGGAAAAAAAGAGTTAACTTCATTTGCAAAAAGCAAAAGCAGATTATGGAATCAAGATGAGAACCATGGAAATGTGGGATTTCAACCTAGGTAGTGGGAAAAATCTACATTTTGTTATAGAGACATTAACGTAATTTGGACAATGAGCAAAAACAGAAAGCATGAATGGATGTGGGATTTGGAAGCAGGAGAGCCACCTTCGGTGGTACCTTCCTGCAAATAAGTGCATGCAAAGAGAGGCAACAATTGTTATGTACTTTGTCAACAGACGAATAACTTTCATTATAAATATTATTCACATGCATCTAATGAAAAAGAACCAAGAAATTCTGTCCCTTTTATTTTCAGAAAGATAAGTTGAGCTTCAACCCCAAGTCCCCAAACTCATGGATGCCTGCAAGATGTCAACCAACTCAACTCTTGGCTAAACATTTTATTGATGACGTGGCTCAGAGCAAAACATATCGTCATCCAGGAGATAATAAAAAACAAAGTAAAATACAACCAAGACTGCCAAGTCTGTAAAGTAATCTAGTGTTACTAAACTCACTACAAAATCTAAGAGAAATAACTAGTTAAAGCACAACAGGACTGTCGGTGGAAATATTCACTTATTCAGAAAAGATCAATCACAGGTAGTTGGTAATTTATCTATCCCAACTACATTTGCTTTCTATATAGGAGCATATGGCTATTTCATAATTGTCTTTAAAGGTCCATATGAAAGGAACTAGCTATTCTCTAATGGCATGATCTAGCCATGTTAAGATAACAAGTAAAAACACAACTAGACAAGGAAGCAAGCACAAAACAAGATGAACTAACAAATATCAATATAAAATGTAATTAGATTTGGGAATCATCAGGATGATATGACCAATAGTCAGTTGGAAATGATATATAAAATTTTATCTAAGTTAGATTTCTTATGACAAAACTTTGAGAATCTCCAGCACCGGTAAGGGAATTGGTCATAAGATAAGCGCTTGGCATTCACAAATGCAGGCTATCATGCAGAGTATATCAAAATTTAAAGCAACCAAATCTCAACGATTGGAAGGGGATATCAAAAGTCAATAATCTCGATCAAACGGACTAAAAGTACCAATGCGACTACCCAAACATTTGTCCAGAAGAAAGCAGAACAGAATCACGTACTTCGATAAGCGAATACGCATGTCAAAATCCAGAACACGATTAACAGCCAGACCCAAACCACAGAAACTCCATAAGGAAAACGTCTACACTTGAACTGGTAAAGGCTCAATTTTGTAAATCTTACTCGGTTCCTTTCTGCCGCAGAATCCGGAACTGCTCCGGGGTGAGAATTGCCTGCCACTCTTCTTCGGATTTCTGAACAGAACCAGGTGCAGCCATGGATACCACTCCACCTCTCAAGCTTCTCGTCTTCTGCTGAACGTACCTACCAAACCCAGTTGCGGAAATTGCAGGAGATATAGATTTTGACGAAGATTTGAACCCGGATTCGTGGAGACAACCAGAAATAGAGCCTCCGCGAGAATGAATGTGGCCGAGGAATCGGGTCAGGTGGGTGCTAGGAGTGGGAATTAATATTCTGGGAGATGAGAAAGGGGAAATCCTGAGAAGTTGGACGCCCATCTTTTTAATCGCGACTTGCTCTTTCTATCAGCTAAAATCCATTATCTTATTAAATACTAGCGGGTACCCGTGGAAAAACTTGCAGTTGGGGGCAACGGCCTAGAGAAAATTTTTGAAAATGCCACGTTACCTTGAATAGGTAAATTAGTAATTACATCTTAATTTATTTTGAGTAAAAACCAAAGCATGACTGGTGAGTTGCCCAACGTGCCCAATCTAGAAACTGTGTCAACAGTCTATGCTGTTGGGCCCCAACAGCCAAAGTTAACTCCGTACCCGTCCAATCTATGGGATTTGTTAAGCCCATGCAAAATAATAGAAATGGCCATTTATTAAAGGGAAAATTCTTAATCAATACCCGAACTTTCAAAATATGACAATCCAGTATCCAAACTTTCAAAATGTGGCAATCTAGTACTTATCGTTAACTAGTCCGTTAATCAGCCGTTAAGTGACATTTGAAAAGTCAAATGCCCTAAGAATGCCATCTAATTCTTTTTATCAACTATTCAAACATTGACAATAAAATGAACAGTCCCAAATTCTAGATTCTTCTAAACAATCACCAACTTTTTTGAATAGAAGAGGCTAGGATTTGGGACTGTTTAGTTTTTTGCCAATGTTTGGATGGTTGATAAAGAGAATTAGATGGCATTCGAAGGGCATTTTTTACTTTTCAAATGTCACTTAATGGTTGATTAACAGATTGGTTAATGGCAGGTAGTAGATTGTCATATTTTGAAAGTTTGGGTACTAGATTGTTACACTTTGAAAATTTGGGTACTAGATTGTTACACTTTGAAAGTTCGAGTACTAGATTGTTACATTTTGAAAGTTCGAGTATTGGATTGTCGCATTTTAAAGTTCGGGGACCAAATTGTCACTTGAGCCAAAGTACAAGGTACTGATTGGGAAATTTCCCTTTATTAAAATACCCCTTTCTATTCAATAACACCCCGCTAGTCAATATTTAACAAAACACCTCCTATAATATTTTATTTTTTAATGTTAAATTTTTATTATTTAAATAACATTCAAATTGAATAATTTGGAAGATTATAATCTATATTGTTAGTACATAATTTCATCATGAATTTGTAAAAATATAAAATTATTAATAATATGAATATTATTAAATTTATTATAATTATTTTTTGTGTTTCTAATAAATATTTTAAATTTATTATATAATTTTATTAGAATATTTACATAATTCTTAAAATTTTTAATTCAAACTTTCATTAGATAGGTATAAATAAAAAGTGGGGGAGAGGATAAATAGGAATTAAAGATAATTTAAGAGATAAATAGGAGTTAGAGATACTTTAGAAGATAAATAATAATTAGAGATAATTTAGGAGAAATTTTTAAATAATTATTTTAAAAAATAATTATTGCACAGGCCCCCTCCATCTTCAATTTAAATAGTTGTGTGTAATTATTTATTTTAAATAACAAAACTATAAATTATTCAAAATAATAATTAAAAACAAAAAATAAAATTATTATTATTAAGTAACCGTGTGTAACATGGCAAATCCGACAAGCGTGTATAACACGGTAATTAAAACAAATTGGTCGGAAACGGGTTGATACTGACCCGTACTTGTTAGCGAAAGTGGGTTGTGTTGGCCCATTTATCTTCGTCTTCTTTGCCCAATTAGTAAAAAGCGGACTTTTTGCAAAACATACAGATCACACCTAGTCTCCTTCCACCCTTGCTTTTAGTATAAAACGTCTCTTTTTAGTCAAAAACAATGCACCTGTTTTTAGTCAAAAACAATGAATTTGAAACTGGGTTCAAAATAGAGGAAAAAGAATGGAGACGGGGAAGGAGTTTTACCTATTTGGGTGATGAATCAGAGTAGTTCCACCCCTTTTATTTTGTCTAAAATAGAGTAGCTTTCGTCCAAAATAGCACCTTTCCACCCCCCTGATTTTAGTGAGAAAAACAACAAAATTTAAATTAGATTCGGAATAGAAAAAGGAAGAAAGGAAACGGTGAAACGATTTACCTGGTTGATGTCCTTCCGCCTCTATTTTTCTCTCTCAAAAATAGAATTACTTCCACCACTGTGAAAGGTATAACATGAAGAAAACATAATGAAAATAAGAAATATAGGTATTGATTGTGAGAAGAGAATGAAGAAAAAGAATGTAAAATACTTGACTTGAAAAGTAGAAGAAGAACAAAGTTTTTGTGTTTGAGTTAGACACAATGTAGGAGTGGTTTTGGACGTGATAAACAATCCTAGAATCGTGACAAAACATGACTCTTTGAAAGCCATCGGACGTGGCAAAAAATGGTTCAAGTGTAAGTATTTAATTGGTTAAATTCATAAAAGCGTGGAATAAAAAAATAAAATTTCAAAAAATGGAGAAAATTTCTTCTACCTTGTTTATATATAATGGGAAAATTCTTGATTAGTACCTTGTACTTTGGGCCTAGTGCCACATTGGTCTCGGAATTTTAAAATGCGACAATTTAGTACCTAAACTTTCGAAACGTGACAATCCAGTACTTACCGTTAACTAGTTGTTAACCAGTCATTAAGTGGCACTTGAAAAGGACACAAATGCCCTTCGAGTGTTATCTAATTTTCTTTACCAACCATCCAAACACTGACAAAAAATTAATAGTCCCAAATCCTTGCCTCTTCCATTCAAGAAAGTTGGGGTCACATTTGAGTGGGCATTCTAGTAACCCCAACTTTCTTGAATAAAAGAGGAAAGGATTTGGGATTGTTAATTTTTTGTCAATGTTTGGATGGTTGATAAAGAAAATTAGGTGACACTCACAGGGCATATCTATCTTTTTCAAATGCCACTTAATGGTTGGTTATCAGTAAGTTAATGGTAGGCACTGGACTGTCACGCTTTGAAAGTTCGGGTACTGAATTGTCGCATTTTAAAGTTTGGGGACCAAAGTGGCACTAGGCCCAAAGTACAGGGTACTCCTCGCTTTATTAAAACAATTTCAGGCAATAGAGCTAGGGGTGTACCCAATTTAAGTCCAATCCAATTCAATCAAAGCTTTTTGAATAGGTTGGGTTTGAGTTTTTTAACTTTAAGATGGGCTTGAGCATAAAAAAGTCGGGTCTAAATTAAACTAAGATTGGGCTTAGGTTGAGGCTTTGGGTACTGATTCAATGGATTTTAAGTTTGTCCAACATTTTATGATCTACAAAGCTCAATATGCCCAAGCCCAAGCCTAACCTGAGCAGGGATGGTAGCAAAGTGGGTTCGGGGAGGGTTTTGTAAATTGTAGACTCTACCCGCCAAGCCCCCCTCCCCCCCCCCCATGCACATGGAAATGCAAAACCTTCCACGTATTCAATTGTAGGGTTAGGAGTGATCATTTCAGCCCAGGCTGGAAAATCCGGGCTTAGGCCTAGGTTTTTTGTTAAGGCCCTGGGCCCGGGCTCACATCAGGACCACAAAATTTAGGGCCGAACTTGGGCCTAATTTTTTTAGGCCCAACCCAGCCTAGATATTTAAAAATAATATATATATATATATGTTATTTTAAAATATTTGATAATTGATGTTTTATATATAAAATAGAGATTTGTAGGAGATTAAAGATTTTAATCCTACGGTTTTAGATCTTACCAAATTCTAATATAGTATTTAATGAAATATAGAAATTACTAAACCCTAATATTCTCGTCTCTCTCTCTCTCTCTCAAGTCTCACCAATTTCACAAAACCATTGTCGCGTCCAATCTCTCTCTCACAAAAAGACAAATCTTCTAGTGATGAAGATTCCATTGATGAAGATAAATATGAAGTTTAGAGTCGTTGCAAGTTTTGGGTAAAATTGAAAGCATTTTCAATATTTTATTACTTTTTTATTTACATTAATTTAAATTATTTTTTCTTAGTTTGCTAATATCTTTTTTATTTCACTTTTTATTTGTAGGAGCTTAATGGAAGATGGAGCCCCTTATAGAGATGTTTAAAGTTGTTTTGTGGATATCACATGACAATGGATGATTATTTTTGATAGATATTATAGGTTCTAGGTTGATTTTTTATTGATAGAAGAATTGGTTTGTTAAAATTATCAATTTTAGCATACTAATGACCAATTGAAACTTATAAATTACAAGGTATAATTATTTAATTACTTTTATGTTAGAAGCTTTTATCTTGATATTAAGTTTAAAGTTTCTTACAAGTTACTATAGTTTCCATGACAATAAGTGAAAAAAAGTACAATTGTTTAATTTTGGAACTGAAATACAATAATTAGGCCCGAAATCTTGGCCTGGCCCGGGCCCATGTAGGGTCGGGTCCGGGCTTATATTTTTAGGCCCATAATGCAGGTCGGGTCGGGTCGGGCCTGGGCCTGGCCTAAGACCATTGTTATGAAGGCAAAGCCAGGCCCAAGCCCGGCCCGACTCGACCCATGATCGCCCCTAGTAGGGGTGAGTTGGGTTTAAAATCTCATCTAATTTCTTATTATTTTTTGTTATTTAAAAGCAATAAATAAGTAACATGACATATATAAACAACAAAATTTCCAATTATTTGATTGAGATGTAAAATAACACATAAACTATCAATTATCCTTTACATCTAATTCAAAATATTATTAAATTCAACACCTAGTACATATTCCAACAATATGCAGGTTGAGGGGGTTGGGTTTAGGCTAATATCATACCCTACCCGCAAAGTACGGGTTTTAGAATCCCAAAATCCATCCTTCAAACAAAAAAAACAAGCCCTACCAAGGTGGGTATGGGTGATACCCATCGACTATGGTAGAAATTGCCATCCCTAAGCTTGAGATGCTTAGTTAAGGTTGAGTTAGGCCTAGGTTCTTAAACTTAGTCTTAACCTTGAATCGAACCAAGCTTGAGTTTGAAGCTTGAGACTTAGGATTGGATTGACCATCAACCTGACCTAACCCACTTAAATTGCACCTAGCAAGGACCCGTGCGATGCACAGGCTTTGTTAAGCGAAATCTAAGCATATAAAAGTAGACAATTGTTTTATATTTTAACATTTTAAATAATTAACAATTAGT